TAATATAATAATTATGAAATGTAATTAATTAATTTAAGAAAAACCTGATTTTTGTAATTTTAAACTGTTGGGTCTGATTTTTAATTTTGGAATAGTAAACACATGGCCCATAAACTTTTACAAAAAAAAAAAAAAAAAGAGTATAACTACTTCCTTTGATGTTGATTATTGAAGATTTTTGTATTTGAGTCATCCATATCATGTGTGTCAATCACAATTCTCGTCAAAATGTTTTTCATGTTGTGTAGTTATAGTCTCAAAGCAGTATCATTTTCATTCAAGATATTCATCTATTACTGATTGATAACTGTAATCATCATGATTATTAACTTATATTGAAAATAGATGTAGTTGTTACTCTCTTCAGGAGTTTTGCATACAATCTGTAACATAAAACAGTAAAACATAGATATACGAGGGTAAACGTAGGTTATGAACCTTCATAAGCATAATATTTATAATATTATGCATTAGATATTCATTATACAAAGGAGGGTAAATGCCTTGTTAGGAATTTTTGATGGAAAAAACCTCAGTTAAAAAAAAAAAGAGTACAATGCGCATCTACTCTCTATGATGATAATATCACTTGAGATCGACATACCTTGTTTATCAATTTCTCAAGTATTATAGAGATAAAGCTGCTGTGAATATGTCTGCCACATAAATTAGCACGATAGTTGTACAACTAAATCAGTTGACGAATTTAATATGTATCAAATAATGCGCTACAACATTATAAATAACTAGTCCCGAATCGCGAACAATTAGCAAGCTATAATAGCCTTATTTTTTATAATAGATTTTGTCCTTGTTTAACTCGTATTTTCTAAAACTCATTTTTTATCAGACTCATTTTAAATGACATATCCTCCCAATAAAATAATTTTGCGCGTAAATTCATAACTTTTTTCTATTTTTAACTGCACATTCTCCAAAAAATCAATGTTCATAATATTTATTATATAAAATCTCTACCAAACAGGAACTTTGCAAAAAGTGATTTTATAACGTGCATCGTACTCTCATTAATGTAACATAGTATTGATTCTCCTCGAACCTTTAGTAAACTTTGTAAATAAATTTCAAAACAATGAATATCAAGCAAAATGTTCATGATAAACCATAATTTTAAAAACTAAAGTCGCACAATTATACGTGGTGTCCCATACTACAAGGCAACAACAAAGGAAAAATCATTATCAATACATTTGCTTCGTGAAAGAGGATTTGTGGACCCAAAATTGATAATCTTGATTAACATGCTTAAATTTCTGTCCCCTTGAAAATAAGACATATGACATATGGCATATAATAATTACTACAAAAGGCAATTAAAGATAATTATTAAGAGAAATTTGGGTGCGAACATAGGCACTTTCGGCGTAGAAAAAAAAAAATCAGCCATTACAATTCAACGTTACGCACTAAGAACTTCAAATATCAATATTCAAGATTCAATTAAAATAATTATATATTTACTTACAAGTATTCTTTTAAAATATTTGAATATCGATGTACATATAGAAGATATATATTTTTAAGAGCATTAACACCATACATTTAAGAAGTTTTAATATGCATAAAGTTGTTCTAGAAACAAAATCATATCTTTCTTGAATATTAATGTGCAGAGTTGTAACATTCCTATGATTTTCGTATAATTAAAGCCATGTTTTTCGAGAGCAATGCCACACTATTCAGTTAGAATACTGATCTCTAAAATTTGTACTTCGTCAAGAACAACAATATTGTCCTAGAATATATTGGTTTTTCTAAAGTTGTAAGTTTTCAAGAACAACGAATTTTTTTGTTCAAGAATGTTAGTTTGTATAAATTCATGTTTTTTCGAGAGCAATAATATATTATTCTTACAAATATTAATAAATAAAACTTGGCTTAACAATATTGATTCATATCTTCTATATATTAAAAGTGGTTATGTAACAGAATTTCTTATTTTTAAAGGAAAAACTAACGGAATTTGCTGTTTTAACGGACTATGTAACGGAATTTCTTGTTTTAAACAGGCAACTGCACCTTCTTTCAGTGTTTTTTATCATAACTTTGTATTCTGATATCCGATTGAGACGATTCAAAATGCGTTGGAAAGCTAACTCATCTGGCTACAACT